TGAGAGTAATGCTGTTATGATTTATTTATAACACACGAATCAGCCATCTCTACTACCAAGTATAATTTCAATTATTCTCTCTAAAGGCTCTTTCTCAGACCGCTTCCTGCCACTAGATGGGGCCCCAACCCTTATGTTACTACAACGGCAATAGCTGGTTGGCTGGTACTGCTACAGGAGGGGCAGTGTTTGCTTCACATTTAGAGACTAATGACACTACTTATTTAGTGGAACAAGCTAAGCAGTTGTTGATGTCATTTTGTCGTGCTTTTGTGTCCTCTTACTGTCAGTCAAGACAATAGAGCCACTAGCTTCCTGACAGATGAGGCTGAGCCTGTGATTAGTGGCAGGATGAGTAATACATCTCTAGAAATGGAGCCAGTGTTACTCATCAGGAAGCAGGGAGGCTCACACAAGGCGTGTACGACTTTTGCTTGTTTTGTAAAAACACATCACAAAAACACTTTGGGCAGTTCATTGATAGTAGTGTGCAACATACGTGCTGTATCGTTGAATGTTGCCAATATTACAGGAACAGATAATACACAAAAGGGAAAGGTTGATTCTTGCCTCAAAAGATATTGCAGTAAATATTGCAATATATAATTTGTACTTTATATTATTACCATTACTGGCTGCTAGTTCACTTTCTTTATATAATGTTTCTCTTTCATTGTATCATGATTGTGTACGTATTTGATTTTATAACTCAGGAGCAAGCCTCTATAATTAATATGTCCTTACCTTTGTATCTGAACTGTCCCCTTAATGTTGTAACATTATAAATATCCCAATTGTGGGACAAATAAAGGATTTCTGATTGCTTTGAAATGACATATTCTTGGATGTTACTGACTGTAACATGTAGACAAACTTATTCTCAGGTGGAGTATTTCCATAACGTCAATGACCTGTTGGCAGCTACATTTGTTGACTCTCTATTTAAATCCTGTTTTTGCTGGCATCCCGCCTGGCACAGAGGGAATGGCACAAAAAAAGGCATATTACAACATCATATACTGAAGAGTTAACTTACCTTATTTGCAGTCACGTCAACTGCACAAGCCATTAATTAAACGAGCCATGTTGTGTGTGATTCAATTACGTCACAGGCAAAATGTCTTGGCTCGCATTACTAACAGTTCAGCGTGAGTAGATTCATTTATCTTTTCTTGCTTCTCTGACAGCCCATTGTCCATGTGACGCCCAGAGAACCCATATTGAATTAATTTGGATTTGCTCACTTCCACATTAGCTAATCTGGATTTAGAGCAGATGGAGTGACTCGGTTTTATTCTGATTGACTGGTATTGTATGTGATATCTAATCACCAAAAGCTTTCACAGCATAATAATCTCATGGTTACACTACATGCTCCAACCCAAAAAAATTACAAAAACATTAGGATAATCATAAATAAACAAATAATTAGCATTATTGTTTTGTTATGTAATTGACTTTGTATTAACTGACAAATCACTTTCCTGCCAAGATGAAAAGATTGGTACCACTTTTGTATCTTTGCATTAGCTATGGACTCAGAGCCTGGAGGCATTTAGCTAGCTTAGCATGAAGATGAGAAGCAGGAAGAAATTAGAAGGGGAAACAGCTGGCTTTGGTCACCCAAAAGCTAAAATAGAAAAGCCTACCTACACCTCCAAAGCTCATACATGTCCACATTTGTATGGAATCTGAAATGCAAGAACAACATATTAAAGTTTGATATGCAGTTGAACGCCCGCTGGATGTATTTCACCCTGAACTCAGTGACTTCCTGGAGGTTTTAGTCAACTGAAACAATCTGCTCCAACAGCTGGTAAAATTTGGTGACAGATGATATATGGTATTCTACAGGAAGTGACATCACCTGGCACCCAAACCCAGCCAACTGGAGCGAGCGAGGACGTTGTTTGTTGCCAGTAGATGTCATGTTTCACACATGTTTGGGAATGAGATCAATTTGTAAAAGTAAATGTTTTAATAATATGATTAACTTCCCCTGGACTTTAAATCTTGAGCAACAAAGACAATAAGTCATAGTTCACAATCAGAGGCATTTTGCAAGACTTTAAAATCGTTAAATATTAGAATAGATATTGGTGCATGTGGGGATAGCTGACTGTATTTTTTCAGGCGGATGAGGATTAGGTTAAGGAGTGGATGTAACAAGTCTATATGTGTGTGCTGCAGAACAAAGAAAGAAAACGTTTAAACTTGGAGAAACACTTTATAAACAAGTAGAACATAAAAAGCCAGCCTCTTTAAAATAAGGGGGACTGTTCAAAGAGTTTCCCAGTGATCATGTTGAGGGTGTAAAGAGCTTGCAACATTCCTCAGTATTGCGGAGAGCTGCGATTTTCATGCCTCGCCCTGCTCCCTTCATCCCTTACGTACCTCTTTTTGGGCTGTCTTCGGGGGCTTTCCTACGGGGCTGGTCATGTGTGCAGCTGGGGATGGAGGCCATGCAACGCTAATCCTCCTCCCCAGCTCAGGAAAGTACCCTGCCTCCCTGTGCAGAAGGAAAACAACAAAGAGCTGAGTGTGTCTGCAGCCTCCGGGGTTCAGTGCACCCACCAGAACATGTCCAAGAGTCACAGCTTGCTGCTCCCTCCTACCCATCTATCCATGCGTGACTCTCCGTCTCTCTCAGGCTTTCTCTTTTCAACCTATGAACGACACGACGAGCAACCTATATGTAACGTCCGTCTGTTTAATATGGGGTCAGATTGGGTTTTTATGGAAGCAAAATGTATCCTTTTTATGACAGTCCTTTACTGGTATTTTAAATTATAACATGATGTCCACTTTCCCTATCTTAAGGCTAATTTAGTGTCAATCATGTCAAGGTCACAAACATGTTTGGACATAAATAAACAGGAAACATTATCCACTTGGTCTAAGGATAGTAATGTTTTTCTATCAGGATTTTTAGACCTTTTATAAGTGGCCAAGATAACTGGATCGGATATTTTGGGGAAGAATTATAATCCGATTATAACCTAAACTATCTTTAAAACAACCATCATTGAGTTATTGGCTACATTGAGCGTAGTATTATTTATTATCATGACACACATTTAGATTTAAACTTTCAGACAAAGCTTCACTTTAAATTCCATTGTTAATGTTTGACTGGTGCTGACCAATCAAAAATATATATGCTAAAATGTCTGTGTGGAAAAAGGTTACAATTCAAAAGAAGTCGCAGCATTGCGTAACTGAGTCATGTTGTGTGCTATTTCTTTCTAAGGGAAGTATAATATGTTGTATAGGTTCCTTCATGTTTAAATAGCTATGTGAGGCAAAAGCCATTGATAAAAGCGATTATGAGCAGTGTTGGTATCAAACAGAAAAGTGGTATTGGGCACTTTTTAGCCATTGAGAAGCTTTTCTTGGCAAGATTTTACTTTATACTTTTTTATCACAACATATGTCGTTAACCAGCCGTGAAAATACAAATCTGATGCCTTCTTTCATTTCTTTTTTAATGTATGAACATTTTTTGGATCATTCGATACGTTTTGAATACTATTATATATTATAAATAATAACCTGTGAAAACTGGAACCTATAGTAGCAAAGTACACAACCATAGTCTTTGGAGTAATACAAAATGAGATACATATCACCATATTAAATGACAATCACTATTTTAAACATTACACTTTTGAGTGGAACAAAAAAATTACATATATGTGATAATTTCCTTGCATTTAAAATTGAATTTGACATATAAGGATGAATTTTAGGATTTTCTTTAAAACAGAATAACAATGCATTATAACTTCATGCAAAATCCTTCGTATGGATCATTGTGTAAAATATTAAAGCCAAGTTCCAAATTCAGTGTCATTTATTCTGAAATCTTGGAAATATAGCAATGATATTTCACTTTGAATCATTATTTCAGTTGGCTTTGCACTAAATAAATTATAAAATAAATACTGCTGGTGGACTGTATGCGTTTGGATCACAAATCCTGTGCGTAATTACACATTTGGTCGCTTTGTGACTTTAGTATTTACTAAGTGAGTGTCATGTTTATGAGAGCCAGAGCATATTTGTTTGCAGGGAGGTTAGTTGGCTACAGAGTTTGGTAGAACACCCCCTCCTCTCCTATTCTCTCTATCTCTCCCTCTCTCTCTCCAGCTGCCGCGATATTTTCCAGCTCTGGAGCCTCAACCGCACAGCTCGATCGATTCGCATTGATTGTCCCTGACGAGCTGCTCCACTTTCTAGCCAATGTCAGCCAGTCTGCGATCGGGAAGGAGAGAAATGAAGGAAAATCTCTGCCGCCCTGGCGGTGTCATTTCCACACACTTGGGTTGGCCGCCTGCCAGCAGACAGGACAGTGGAAAGAGGTGGAGTGGACTCTGGGGCTGTGCGCGGGGAGGAGCGCGCGGGGATCCGGCTGATCTGTCAGCTTTGCCCGGTGATATGGATAAACTGTTAATAAAATGATGGGGGAATTAAGTGTTTAACCTCCGCCACTCTGCGTCACATCCACTAAAAACAACAAAGTACAATGTTTAAAATCATCACAACCCCTCTCAACACTTTGAAATTGCAGATAATCACATTTAAAAAAAAGTATACCTATAAGCTAATTATATATATTTTTTTATTTTAAGGAAAATATTAAACATTTTAGGAAAATATTTAAATTTTAGGGGAAATATTTTTAATTTAAAAGAAAATATTTTAATTTAAAAGAAAATATTTTAATTTAAAAGAAAATATTTTAATTTTAAGTAAAATATCCAGGCAGTTGTGTGTCGAATAAACTAATTTGCATAACAAAACAATCCCTATATATATATTTGAATGTTGGCCTGAACATTAAACATTAAATAAATCTCTCAGGTGGATTTTTTTTTTTTTTCTCCCATCAGCCCTCACTTTTATTCTGAATCTCCACCTCTCAGCTGTCCTGACATCACACTGGAGCTCGCGGTCTCTCTCCGTTTATTATTGCCTCAGCTGAAGCGCGCGCGCACCGCGGAAAAGTCCACTTCGGTTTTTCCGCGAAGCTCCAAAAATCTATGAAATGTGTTTGCATGTTCCTCTCTGCAAGCGGGGATGTAGAGGTGGTATTGCAAGGACCGAGAAAGCTGGGGGAACCCACGCGTTCAGCCTCAGAGAAAGTACGCTTTTTCCAAATTAACTGACGGTGAATATTGTTTTTCTTTTCACATTTGTCATTAACAGGCAGCCACTCTGTGGGATTGTGTTCTCGGAGAATAAGCTATTTTTCTACCCTTTTCTTTTTTTTTGTCACCATTCTGCACGGCAGGCTGAGAGACGGACCCTCGGACTGTGGGAGCCCTCCCCTCGGCTCCGATCTGCTTTGGTAGGTGCGAATAGAAATGGGACTGTGTTTGCAAATATGCAGATACATGGCAGGGGGGGAGGAGGGGTGGTGATGGGGGAAGCATCATACTTTGTTGAAGTCTGCTGAAAGTTGGGATGTCATCTTCTTAGGGGTTCAAGTTATAGCGGGGTTGAATCGGGGCTCTTCCTCAAATGTGCGACTGCAGACCCAATGCTGGTGCCGCGTACAGCCTGTATGCTTATAGATCACCGAGTCCAGACTAAAGCAGATATTTAAATCCAATGTTCTCTGTATTAACAAAATAAATACAAAGGTTTTAAAATCACCTGTGATGGGGTCAAGGTAAAGCTTGAGCACTGTGCTGTGAACGGGATATTATAAGCTGCTGTCAGTTAGATACATCCAAATGTCTCTTTATTATACGGCTCAGAACACTGAAGCCAAACCAGATGCTTTATTGTGAATCATGCGCAATAAACTTAACGCTTCCAGTTAATGAAGGAACAGATCAACGCGCATTAGAGTTGGTTTTTTACAACAATCTTCTTCCTGGTCGTCACCCTGTGAAGCATATTTGAAACTTTTATTTAACCCTACAATCATCATCACTCGCGTAAAGATGATCCAAATGTCATATCCTTCCTATTTTCCTCCGGGCATCATTAGAAAGTTCCCAGGTAGGTTGCACCAGCCTTCATCGCGCTACCCGGAGATTTACAGCCCCCCCTCCCCATGCAACCCAGCACCAGTATCGCAGCTCCAAGTGCTGCTATATGTTGGCGAGTAATTTGAAGGCACAGTATGCACGGCATGGTTGTTTTCCTCTAACTTTTTGTGTGCCTCATTAGGGAGAATAAGACGCAGCAGGTTATGGACAATGGATGAAGGCTGGAGTCTTATTATTGTCACCAGGCTTTTTAACTTCCTCTGTTTGCGCGTCTGCGTGTGTAGCCTTTGCACGATGGTGTGCGTGTCTGTGTGCGCGTGTCAGTCGACAGGAGGTGGGAGGAATAGTGAATGTACGAGAGTCCGCAGACAGCGCGTCTAGAGAGGTAGAGAGGGGGGAGGGGGGTTTGCATTACGCGTCGCCTGGTATAATGCATTAAGTATTCTCGCGTCTCTAGAGGTGGAAGTCAGCTGCGTTTGTGGCGGGCCAAGTGCCTCATAACCCTGCAGGACATTAGTCAATATATGTTGTTTCTGTTCAAAGAAATAACTGACTCCGATTACCTGGCACCTGCGCAGGCAGTGACGTCATCGCAGGACACTTACTTAGTTACTTCAACGCACTGAATAACGTGAATGCTCCAATTCGGCTAAGCTTTATGGTTGCAATTAGTGGGGGATTATCTAAAATAAATTACAATAATTCAGGATTTTCAATTGGAAGAAAGTTTCATATCTTGAGTTTCAATGGTATTTGAATTGAATATGAAAGCAGACTATTTGGACCACACCAATGTGTTTAAACATTTATGATATTAAAAAAATCCCAAATGTTAAAAAGAATTGTAATTCAAATGTTTACATTTATTGTCCTGAATCAGATTATTGTCCTCAAAAAGTGGTGTGGACACTTTTTTCAGATTAAAAAAAAAATACTGCTGCATTAGGCCCCCGCAAACAGGGGCGCCGCCAGGGATTTTGGGCCCCATGAAAAGATGGTTACTTAAACATTTTTTTCTTAATGTTCTAAAATAATTTGGGCCCCTGTCAGTCACGGGCCCTTATATCGTCCTAACTGTTCACCCCCTTACGGCGCCCCTGCCCGTAAACGATACATAAAGTACATATATACATATGCTTACACTACTTTTTTTGACAGTACAGTATATGCTAAGCTGCTGCAAAGCGGGGGCAACAATTACTAGTATCTATTCAACTATTACTCATACTACCGTGTTGCACTTGGGTTACAGAAATACACCCAGAAAGTGTAACCAGTCCGATTGTACATGTTCTCTGAGCAAATACATCTTTTTCAAAGTGTACAATTCTTAATGCACATCTTCTGAACATTTTTAACAGATGATCCTAATGCAAAGTTGTGGGGACAAATGTGGCCATTGCCAAAAGTGGTGGAGACATGTCCCCAGTATAAATGGTCCTGAATCTCACTAACAATAGGAAACGTAAACACACTGGCCTTGAATGCGTCCCTCCATATTGATCCAACCTATTGAACTCCTGAACCAACAGACCATTCATCAGTTGTCACTATATTATTGCATTCATTTTTATACAGGTTTCTTTTTAAAAACTGCTTATTCAAGGAAAAGTTTGGAGCTATTAAGTGTTAAATGAGCTGTTAGTTATCAGACGGGACAAAATCAACACTGTGGTTGAAGATCTAATCATCCGTGTTATTGCTGGGCAGGTGCAGTATTTTCTGTACATTTGATTCAAGCTCTAAAGTTTGGGTAAATTCTCTAATAAATGAATACCTCTGCTTTTATACATTGCTAAGGATCCATTAACTGAACCTGTGACATATTTTTACTCACGTTTTCTTTTACAATGTTTTGACACACTGTGTAGATGTAATATCCACTTTTGCTTCAGATATATAAAATGTGGATATTTTCACCTTATGGTTTAAGAACACCTTTTTGGAAGTGCGCTTATTTACTTTCTTGAATAGTTAAATGTGATGAGAAGATAGATGCTCATAAAGAAATGTGATACTGTTCTTGTCTGAATCAAACATTTTCTATAAAATGTTGAACTTTTTTCTAATTATATTCAAACAAACAAGAACATCTGGATTCAATTTGTGTATACATGCTCACTGACAGAGCTGTCATAGTTAACCCTCACTCAATTATAAGCTAGTAGAACATTAAAACAAATACAACTTCACACACAAACTGATAACCATATATCATAAACCCACCATCCTCCATATGGTCCTTATTAACTTTACTCAAACAATTGTTCAGCTTCTGCAAATCAGCTGCTGTCGACAAAAAAAAGGGACACATGTGACTGAGCTGATTTAAAAAACAATGTCAACATTTTACTAAGTGTCCTTACTGATTGAGCAGCAACATTTGTCACTTTAGGAACGTTGTGTTATTGCCCCTCAGGTTAGTCAATATTTGATGGGCTACACTAAATTACTTATTGACCAATAAAAGAGTCATTATCCAACACTCAGATTTCCTTAAAGCGTAAACAAAATAATTGAGTTGAGCCTATAGTGAAGATCAGGCCTAAAAAAACAAACATTTCTAAAAGTCATAGAGAGGCGAAGTCCCTCCCTTTCCGGGGGAGCTCCATGGGACCTTATTACGGAAAAATCATGTATTGAAGTCAATGGCGAGAGAAAGATTATTTTTCGATCCCGTTTGAATTGTGCCACGAATTACACACATGTTTGTCAATTTAAAAGATAATTTTGCAAGTCAAAGAATTAAAAATGTGTGGTAAAACTGTGAAGTAACACTTTTTTTGTGTGAAACCGCTCAATGAACTACATCTCCCGTCTCGCACCACACACCAAGACGGCCGTCACGTTGAAACATTTCACTTCTTTCTTTCAGAATGAGGCGGAAAGTATTAAACGAGGTGAAAATCACTACAAGTCTGGGCACGTTGAGAGCTGTGCATACACACAAGGGGAGTTAGTCGGTTCCGTAAGAGCCAGCATGCGGGACCGGGATTTGTAGTCTTTAGTTGCGTATTTTTCATAGTCTTATATTTCAACAGTTTTACGACAAACTGTGACTTTTTTGACATGGAAATTATTTTTTAAGATTGACAAACATCATATTCGTGGCACAAAACGGGATCGAAAGATACGTTTTCTCTCCCCATTGACTTCAATACATAATTTTTCCGAAATAAGGTCCCATGGGGCGGAAGTAGATGGGCGGGACTTCGCCTCTCTATATGCAGAGTGACCGTTTCAGCTGCAGGTCTGAATTTACCAAACAAGAGGCCACCAATTATTGTTATGGATGTTTCGATTGCGGGATCAGATTACGCCTCTCAGGCTGCACTTGCGCTCTCCATCGTCCAATTGAGCTCATTGGTTTATCGAAGAAAGGCTTTTTGCCTGTATTGATAATTTGGACCATTTATATCCAGATGTGTATATATCCATCCTGCACTCCTGTGTAGAAAATTGAAGAAAAACTAGCATGAAGCTAGTAATAACACCTATTTTTAAAATCTAGAGACAGCTCGAGGTGCAAGAAATGCTGTCCCCGAAGCACCTACTAATTACAGTGCTCTTGTTAGGTCAATTCACATAAAGCTTGCGTAAAAAGGCTTTCATATGAAACACAGCGTTAAGTCCATTACATCACAGGAAATTGAGTAAACATCCTCGAAGGACAAAACCACGCCACTGATCAGGTTTCTGCAGCAGATACCTGACACTGAGCATTAGAGGCAGTGGTGGTTTAATAGACAGTTCACATGAGGACATAAACCTCTGCTGTAAATGATGTGGTGAAGGGATCTTAAGAACCATGACGCTAGAAATCAGGGGGGGGGGGAGAGGAGGGGTTTTTAGCCTGAGACTTTATGCCATGCTGAGGGTTGATGATGACAGAGAGAGTGTGACTGATAGGTCAGTGGGATGGAAGGAGGTACGTGGGTGGACATGAAGATACAATAGGTGACCATGCCTTAATTCTAGTATGATACAAATCTGCATACATGTGCTAGTCATTACACGCTGCTTTGGTAGAGTTGTATTCTTTGTGGCACCAAATGTTGACTATGAGCATTTATACAATCATTAAAATGTGAAGATGATGTGTTACTACTGAGATGCATCTGCTTGTTTCCTGAACATAGATAGCATTGATTTCATCATGAAACTATTCAACTGTACACAGAGAGGTGCCTTAGAGACTGAAGCATTTTAGCGCTTGTCACACCTCAGCTACAATAGAAATGAAAAGTGTGCATTCCTTAAAATCCCAATCATTTGTCAAATTATTCATATTCACCTGGAGAAGAGGTGCGTTATTGTAATTCAGCAGGTGTTAGCGCAAAGCAAGTCAGCAGTATTGGAAAAGTAGTGTGTCACATCCATATTATCCAGGTCGTCATCACTGAAGAACAGCAGCATGTGTACAAGCATTTTCATTTGCCTTTTTTTAACCAGTTGTGTCATCAGCAGGCCAGCAGGACAAAAAGTCCTCTGTCAGATTTCTAATGTAACAGCTGATCAGAGATATATTTTTCTCAAGGTTTTCAAGAAACGCAATCGCCAACTTAGTCACCTTTTAGGCATCCTGAGAGCTTATTTATTCTAGCTATTGTGCCAGTTTATTGATTATGTGAAAAACTCAACTCTTTTATCACATTTACTGTTTTCAGACCCTTGATAAAGCAGTTGGATCAGAGCATTTTGCAAGGCATTAATTAATTAAAAAAATAATGTTGATATACACTCAGATTTATTTAACCAAAATGCACCGTTGCCAAAAAGCTAATTTAAGACAATATTACAATCAAATAAAAACCTGTGGTCACAAACACATAATTTCAGGTCCAATATTCCATTAAACCGCAAGAAAACCCCTGATTTGCAGCGCAACCACAACTGAGCAGAGAGGCAGTTAGTTTGAGATGCCTTGGGGAAACCGGACCCTGGTCAGAGCTGTAGTGGGAGAAACTGAAACTGTGGGGCTGCGGGGCTGCGGAGCTGGCTCTGGTTCGCTGGCGCCACATCCCCCTGAGCTGGTGAGAATGTGGGGGCTGCGCTCTTGCCTTTGAAGCTTTACCTCCCACTAATTCTGGCCTTCCAATTTCCACACACTGCACAGACACCCCCCCTCCATCCTCTTCCCCTCCCTTTCCCTTTGTTTCCCTTATAAGGACTGGCCCGGCCATTTCCTCAGCTTTTCTGTGGGAGGTGGTATGCTTGTTTGTGAACATGGACAGGTCAGGAGAATAGCAACATAGTTTTTATTTTCATAGATGAGCAGTCACAGGAATCCTGCGCTAAAAGCCGGTGGATGCATCTCTGTCCAGTGGGGAGTCTCTTAGCCGGCGTACCCTCCTCATAAGCCCCACCGCTCTATTTAAGCTCATGTTTTGTCGCTCTACAGGTTTGGCCTTTAAAAGTAATAGGATATAATATATGTTTAACACAATGATAGCAATCAAAAGACATGCTTAGTTAATAAAAAGAAAACTTCCTTTGTTCTGCCTCTGGGTTTTTGGCTGTATTTTCTGCAGCTAAATCAGATTGTTGTGTGAGTGTCTAATAAGAAACACACTGTGTATCACGCTCGATCAATGAGCATGTAATTGTTAGTCAATAAATGCAACATTTCATAAATGACTAAACTGCAGTCAGGGCAATACAATTAATGTATAAAGTCAGTCTCAAATAGTGCTTATTACAATTGCATTTATTACAGATAAATACTGGAGATGACTAAAATAAAAATGACTAACTTTACCTTAACATTTTTTTAATTTAAATCTGAGAGTTATGTCAGTTGTGTTCACAAAGCACAGATTGGTAGATCAAAAGGTTCCACTGGGAACCATCAAGAGGGAAATAAGGTAACACATTAGGACATTAAGGAGAGCAACCACATATGCAATTAAACACAAACTAGTGTGCGTTTGTTTAACGAGATATAGCACACAAAATCACATATTTTCATGTACAATTCAGCATTAAGCGTACAATTAAGAATGTTAAACATAACACCAATTTGGTTTACATTGGAAAAGGTGTGTGATTTATAAACGAATGTCTTAAGATTTAGAGGGGTAACAACAATTGAGGGAATACAAAATAAAGAATTATTTTGAGTGTGTTTAGGGGCCTCCTTTTCTGTTTAATTGGATATAGACATTGGAGTGGTCCTTATAGTGCCATGTACATTTTCAAATTCATTTATTTTAAGCTCCAACCATCGGAATTTGTTATGATTGTCAAGAAAACTCTCCTGGTGAATTTTATTCAAATTCCAACAACATTTACCCCTCTCTCATCAACCTTGAAGTTTAGCCTCAGTAGGGTGGTCCTTACAATTGAAAGTGGGAAAGTCTAAGCTCCAACCCCCAGAATTCATTCTATAGAGTGGTGAAGTCACGCCCATCTACTTCCGGTCCATGGGACCTTATTTCGGAAAAATAATGTATTGAAGTCAATGGAGAGAGAAAACGTATCTTTCGATCCCGTTTGAATTATGCCATGAATTACACATATGATGTTTGTCAATCTTAAAAAATAATTTCCATGTCAAAAAAGTCACAGTTTGTCGTAAAACTGTTGAAATATAAGAAAATGAAAAATGAAAAAAGATGAAAAATACGCAACTAGAAAGACTACAAATCCCAGAGTGATGTCACAATTGTTTTCCTCCACTAAGAGATAGCTAAGACCAGCGCCATATATATATATATAATCTATCTATATGGTGCTGGCTAAGATAAGATAACTTTAACAAGATGCCTGTGTGCTTAGTACCAGGTTGTTATCATACCAGCAATGGGTCTTGCTCGTTCTTTCGCTTCCCGTCTGATGAAAGGACCAGGAGTGGCTGGATCAAGTTAGCTACCTAGCTAGTAGCTAGCACGTTAGTTAGCATTACAGCCTTGTCATTTTTATTAGCCTTAATATGAAGTAACATTAAGTAACCCAACATGTTAAACAGTAAGAGTAGTAGTCATATTTCGTGAACCCTTTGAAGAGTACTGTGATCATTCTATAATACACAATTTAAGCCCGGGGGAGAAATGCTAACGCTAGCATCGGCGATCGCCGATCTTTTCTACTTCATGCTATCTGCACAAATGGTTGACATTAAACATTAAAAAGACCAGGCAGTTCAGAGAGAATCAAAGGAAGGCAGGCAGGCAGCTTTGCATGACATTCTTCTGGACGTGTTTCATTGTGGTGATAGTGAGGGTAGTTAATCGTTTTGTTGACAAGACAGTAGTGACGGCCATCTTGGTGATGTGTGTTGTGCTGCGAGACCAGAGATATAGTTCATTGAGCGTTTCACACAAACAAATGTGTTACTTCACAGTTTTACAACACATTTTTTTTTTTTGACTTGCAAAATTATCTTTTAAATTGATAAACATCATATGTGTGATTCGTGGCACAATTCAAACGGGATTGAAAGATAATCTTTCTCTCTCCATTGACTTCAATACATAATTTTTTCGAAATAAGGTCCCATGGAGGTCCACCGGAAGGGGAGAGACTTCACCACTCTATTAGTCAAGAAAACTTTCCTGGTGAAAGTGTTCCTCAATCTGACAACATTTACCCCTCCCTCATCGACCTGGGCTGCCACACCAGCATCTTCAAGGTTGATGAGGGAGGGGTAAATGTTGTCAGATTGAGGACAAAATTCACCAGGAGTTTTCTTGACCTATAGAATGAATTCTGGGGGTTGGAGCTTAGACTTTCCCACTTTCAATTTGAAGGACCACCCTAATAAACATGGATAAACGTGGTACTTGCACTGTGGGTAGCATTTAGCATGGCTACTAGCATTGCTGTTGACTCATATACATATACTGTTATTGTTCATGTAAATAGACCAGTTTTTATTACTTAACAAACATGATTTTTAACAGAATCTTTACAACTTTACTTACGGCATTGTCTCTACGATCTTCTACTGGATCCGGTGTTTTACTCTCAGACTCAGAGCATGCACTGCCTGTAGCATTTAGTAGTATCCTCCCGCGAACCGGAAGTCACTGATCCGGACGGAACTAAACAGGAAGTGACGTCAACGCAAGATGCAAACGGAAATTTTTTTTACATTAGTTTTAACTATATATGAGTACAAACAAACAAAACAAACAATATTACTGAAATACTGAACCAACCACAAGTGTTGAAACCCAGGTAAACTGACCACAATATATGATAGAATATTTGTATTTCAGAAACAAATTGTTTGCATAATTTTATATTATTAAACATTATTATGTTTCTAATTGTAGGCTACCCACATTTTTTTTATAGCCTTTTTCCAGATGTAGATACGCCTCTGCTTGCTTTACTGTAATTTTCAGATAATAGTTGACCTGCCGCAACTTTACTGTTTTGGTTCACTCATTGCTCTTTTAAAAAACTCTTTTAAGCTCTAGCAGCGAAAACCCTACTGCAGCAGACAGGTAGCAGACAGGTACCACATGTCACAACTATTGGTGAGCATAGTGGAGCATTTAGCAGCTAAACAGCTAGATGTTTTTTGCAGGAGTTGGTAGGGACCAAAAACAGATAAAACTGGATAATTTTAGACTTAAGTCAGGAGATCCCTAATGTATGCAACAGATTTGCCATATCAACTTTCTGTCAATGTTTTTGAATAACTGATTACTAATGATTAATTTGCCCCTCTTTTCTCCTTATGTAAGGTTTTTTTTCTGAAGGCCCATGGAAGAACGTGGATGAGGGCTGAGCTGTAGTGCGGGCTAAAGGCTCCGGGGCCTGCCTGTTGGCTGGTTGATTGGACCATTTAGGTGAGGCACCACTCTCAACGGGGGCATACAACTGACCGAGAAAAGGTCTTTGCTCCCCCTCCTCACTCACCCCTGCCCCCTTTCCACCCTCACCTCCAACCCTAGTCACGTACGCTCTGGACCATGTCTAGCGGGCTGTCGGAGGGGGGCCGGACAGAGGACCAGGAGCGGAGCAACAGCAAACAGGACTCTCCTGTTATAGAGCGCAGGAACCGCTGTGGCATCATCAGTGAGCCCCTCAGTAAGAGCCTTAAGAAGTCCCGTACCCTCTCCCAGTACACAGCAGTCTCATCTGCCACCAGCTATGGACACAAGGACAATAGTGAGACTAAGCGCCACTCGGCAAAGCCTCAACCGCCTCCGCAGCCGCAGCCCACTGTCTCTGCTCTGATGGCAGCCAAGTTGGACCGAACCCTGGAACAGGTGCTAGAGGGACAGAATGGCCTGCTGCACTTTGCCCAGGCAGCAGCACTTTTGAAGCGGGCCGGTATGGAGCACATGCTCCTGCCTGGGGGCATGGGTATGGGAATTGGCGGTGGAGATTCAGGCTCGGGGGGTAGCGATTTGGAGGGTACGTCTGTCACGGACGCCGTAGGTGGTCCTGTTGACTTCCCATATGGAATTGGGGGTGGTTTCCCCTTCAACCCGGGGCTTTTCATCATGACGCCGGCTGGAGTGTTTCTGGCGGACAGCGCACTACACATGGCCGGCCTGGCCGAGTACCCAGCGCAGAGCGAGCTGGCCTCTGCTATCAACTCCGGTAAAAAGAAGCGAAAACGTTGCGGCATGTGCCAACCTTGCCGACGGCGAATTAACTGCGACCAATGCAGCAGCTGCCGGAATCGCAAAACAGGCCACCAGATCTGCAAGTTTCGTAAATGTGACGAACTGAAGAAGAAGCCCTCTGCTGCTCTGGAGGTAAGTGTTATGATATGCTGTTGCATTGTGGGTTATTCTTTAGAGTTCCCCTAGAAATAGGACTAAAACATTTAAGTTAAATTGTCATTGTGGGATCAGAAATGTAGGAACTATCAACAGAAAACAGCTGTAAAATCTTTCAAAAATATTACACACAGATTTGCAAACATCTCAAATTTTAGCATTACACCTTCTGGGTTTCACTTGAGTGTCACTCCTTTCCGGGGACATATTACTGGGGGGCTATTTGGTGGGGTGATGGCTCCACAGGCAGGGAAATGACAGGTGGTGAGTAGAGTGATGGTTATGTGCAGCGTAAGTAGTCACCATGGAGTGTCTTTAATCTGTCCACCAAAACAACACAATCATCCTGGCCGCATCTTTTAATTGGTAGGCTACATTACTCATCTAAAGGTAACACAAGGCACTCTCTCATGTACATCCTCCTTGTCCATATGTCTTAATAGTAAAGAATCATTAGGTATGAGTGGAGGCAGTGTGACAGTAATTGTGAATATTTGTACAGTTTGTGTTTGTGTATAAGTGTACATGCATGGGTATGTTTGTGTATTTGTGTGCATGTAGCAAGGTCCATCTGGCCACAGAGCTGTCATCTGGAGCACCAGGTGTCAGTGTGGCACATGCGCCCCCCCTCCCCTCCACCTCATCCCCTCTTTTTGCTGCCGCTGCCCTTCTCTCCGGTGACAGTCCTGCTCATCTAAATGTCCCTCCAAACGTCCTGTCTGTTACCTCCATCGCACTCAGTGGCCTAACTAAGCCAGCATGTGATGGCAGAATGACCAATCATGAAATCAATTTCAGCAGATGTTCCATCTCAAAGGAAATAAACTTTTTTGATCAATGGATAATCCTGTCACTTTGGCATTACATAGTGAATTGATGGATATGTAACACAGTGTGAACGGCAACCAGTGGAGAGGCCTCTGGTCTAATTGACACAAACTGGATCTCTGCTTCAAACTGCTAATGGCTTTACTTCTTTCCCTTTATGATGTTGATTGTGGGTGACAGCCTGGCCTCTTGTTTGTGTGATATGTTGCTTGTCCAATCCTCATGTGCTGCTTTTGGCCATCCACAGTGAAAGGCTCCTTAAAGGGCTCCTTGTGTAGAGTTTTCAGTGACACAGAGTTGCGTAATTTGTATGCAATATTAAACTAGTAAAGCTCAATTAATGAATGTTCATGTTCAAGATTGACATGAATATTTACACCTTTTCACTTGTTTGTGCACATGGGTTAGATCTATTTAAAGGCCATGTCAATGTTCTGCTTGTTTTAAACCATCGTCTAGTATTAATGACTTACTAACCCTTTTTGAAAGCATGCCATAGTGTTCTTTAGCAGAGAGTTTACATTTGCTTGAGGATAATGTCCTCTCAAGGACATTTGCATAATGAGTTGTTTCAGCATACAGATAAAAGTACATACAGTGTGTTTACATTCAAGGGACAAAGCCGTAGGAATGTTGTCCATCAGGAGCAAAGGAAGTGACGTTACTTCAGAGCGAGAAAGTAACTTTTAGGGAAGAGGTCATTAGTGGCAGGGTTAACAAAACCATATATTTAAACAGAGGATTTCCTACCAGCAGTCAATGCTTTCTGGTATGGTATATTGTTTAAAAATGTGGAACTTGTTGGCTATAGGTTATCCATCACAGTGAAGATCATGTCTGTGTTTTAGTTGAATTGTAAAGCACAAATTGGTGTGAACAATCTGCACGTCATCAAACCAATAACAAACCAATAATTTACATTATGACAATAATCTTTTGAATGAAAGATCTCAACACATTACATGGTACATTTTGGAATAAACAAAGGTGCAAATGTTTTTTATTAACAGTAAAAAGGTTGAAACATTAATTGTGGCATGGTCCCTTTGGATGGTGTGAAATTATAAGTTAAACGCTTGTCTTTAAGGGACAATATTTCTGGAAGTTGAGAATCAGGCTGATGTGACTTCCTTTTGTTTTTTTCCCTGTTGCATTGTTCAGATGCAAATGAATGAGAGGCTTCATTTGTCTAAGTTGATCATTCACCAAAAGGCTGAGATGTGTCAGCTCGCTATGTAGGTGGTACGACTCAACGTCTGCAACAGAAAGGAATTCTGTTTTAATTTATGGTTTGCAATTGATGTTGTCATGGCAGTTAGCCTAATACCAGTCGTTCACACCAGTGATGCCAAACCCAAGGGGGCTTGAATATTCATGAGTGTTGATGTTGATATAGGTCATCATTCTGCTCGAAACGTCAGTCTGCTGATGTTGCCAGAGGCCACCTCATATGAAAGACAGACACCCCAGGGTACCATAATCTGCCATGAGTACCAAGTATAATAGCTGTGTGCTTATTGGCTCAAGTAATTGTATGTATTGTAATTAACTTGCACACATTTTGTACTCCTGACATCTAAAAGTACTACTTCATATTTTATGTAATGGGTTAGTCCAGGGGTCGGCAACCCGCGGCCCTTTAAGCCCTCTGCTCTGGCTCCCTTGAGCTTAGACAAAAATAAGAAGGAAATAAAATAAAAGTATTTGTAGTACTATTTATATTTTGTTGCATGGTTGAAAATGTTTCGTATCTTGTATTTTGAGGTGATACTGTGACACATAAATAAAAAACAAAACGGTTTTAATTAGGTCAACTAAAATATGCGTCACATCCCGCTACGGTCCCGCGCGAGCGCCTTTTCTTGGAGGCGAATAACCTGACCCCCGGCTCGATGAGCGAACTATGGATAAATCAAAGAAAAGTACCGGAGGAACACAGGATTTAATTCTGTGTGGACAGAGTTATATGCTTTCACAGCAAACGATGCTGGTTTACCGGTATGTCTGATATGTAGAGAGAAGTTGTCAACGGTGGTGCAGCCTTTACGTATGGAGGAACAACAAGGGAGAGGAAGACAGCTGACGATCTTCAGTCATAATTCAATGGGGTATGTAATTTATTTCAGAAAACACTTTTTGTTATATTCCATGGAATGCTCTTAACGTCCCGATAGCAATGAATATATTAAATGCTTTGACAATAAATACATACAAAAATTTATCTCTGGAAGCCGTAGCGCTGTAAAAAGCATGACCAATCATCTGAGCCGGCCCGGCTAAAATAACTGGATGGCCTAACGGCCCGTCCACACAGCGGCGTGCGTTGACGCTTGCCGGCGGGCGTGTCTGACACTCGACCAACAACCAATCACATGAATCTCCCGCCCCAGACACACAAGCACGCGGTTTGATTGGCTAGAGCTTGTACTGGCATATGATTCGATTGGCTGACGCCTCCATCGAGGCGTCAAAAGTTGAACATTGCTCAACTTTTGAAGCGAGCAACGCCAGCAACGCTCCACGTCGCTTCCCAAAATGCAGTTCCGCTAAAAGTGACGTCACCCCATTCAAAGTGAATGGGCAGAAGTGTTGGAAGCTTCAACGCACGCCACTGTGTGGACGGGCCGTAACTGCCGGTCAGCCTTCCATCTGTGCACAAACTTATCTCGTGCCCTCATTGGTCATGTGCGCGTTCGTGTGTGTTGGAGGAGGGACTCTGTAAGGAAGTCTGAAGGAAGAGGCATATTTTTTCCGGTTGTGTACTTTCAAATTCTAGCGCACTCGAGCTGGTTTCTCCATTCTTACCTACCCTACCTTTCACTCTTTTTAGGGTGCAGCTATATGTTTTATTTATTTCAAAGTGGGCCCATTTTAATAATATTTTTTTCCCCTTCAAATGTGCAGAGGACTCCCCAAGTGCTGTGTTTAATTTATTTTAAAGTAGGCCTGTGTATTATTTTTAATTCTCCTTATAAGAGTTCTTTGTTTCTTATTAGAGGTTAACAGTTTTATATCATGTAATAAATAGCCTAATAAATGCAAAAAAACTGTAGTTTTTGTCTGATATAACAATAAAAAACTATGAAATATGTTTTGCGGCTCCAGACAAAAAAATGTTTTGGAAAAAGGAGCAAAATGGCTCTTTTGGTCAAAAAGGTTGCAGACCCCTGGGTTAGTCAAACAAAGACCTAAAGTGATAGGGTTCATCCCTGCTTGCAACTTAATTTATCATGTGACAATATTAGACAAATATTGTGTATTTGCTGAGCGGGCAAAACTTCTCTATTATGTATCTTATCTGCACAAAATCAGTGTATTTGTCAAATCCATCAATCTGTAAAAATAGCTTTTAGATTAGTCAATCAGACATGAACGCAGACACTCTTTTACCTAGCCAAAATGTAAACAATGTGACCCTACAGTTGGACCAATTATCAATGGATGTGAATACATGAATAGTCAATGTGTCAATAATAAAATGTGACATCGAGAGTAATGCCTTTTTATAAGAGTTACAAGTTTGTGAAGCCACATGCGTCCTGGATGTCTTAGTCATGACACTGAAATCAGGAAGCATTTGTGCCAAAGTGTGCGGCTTCAGCCCACACAGAAAGCGTGAATCAAACCATAACCTCAATCACCCGACAACCCACGGCATGAAATAAAATCTTTGTGACAGAGTGATCTCGGTAATATTCCTCTCTTAGTCATGTGCTTCGCATTACACATTTTTCATATGATTTGACACTGTAAAGTTTGATCTTAAAGAAAGATAAAGTGACTAAACCTCTCTGCATTGCAACATATCTGACTACATTTCAAATGCATCTGGTCTGCAACCTGTTACCTCTTTGTCCTAAACTTGATTTTCAACACACTATCAACTTTGCTCTGACAGCAGTACACCATTTTCAATTTTGCCTGCTTTTTATTTGTCCTCATGCACTCATACATCTCCCATTTGCAGTCTAGTAGTTGTCTCCAATGGCTTTGTTATTAAGTCAACAGCTATTGTTCTGCAGGTGATTAGATCAGAGAGTACGGCCTGGGCCTTTCTGCCATGAGCGTGGTGTCGTCAGTACAAGATAAAAGTCAGAGGAAGGAATTCACGGAGGATGTGCCGAGTAAGGAGAGAGGAAGCAGTAAAT